GCATTCTGTCGAGGCCGCGGGAGCAGCAGCAGCAGCAGCAGCAGCAACAGCAGCAGCAGCAGCAGCAGCAGCAGCTGGATCCCCAGCGAGTTGGATCGAGAACTCCCGCTGCGGATTTGCTGCAGGCTAGAAGATGCTCCAAGTGCAGCTCTTCATGAGGAAACTGCTGCTGCTGCTGCTGCTGCTGCTGCTGCTGCTGCTGCTGCTGCTGCTGCTGCTGAGGGCGTGCTGCATTGCAGCAGCAGCCCCACTGCTCTGTTAGAGCAGCGCGTGCGAAAGCGAAGTTGGGCTAAAGTGGGACTGTAGAAGACGATCCGCTGCTGCTGCTGCTGCTGCTGCTGCTGCTGCTGCTGCTGAAGCTCGGGGCTGAAGTCCAGTGCATGCGGCGGGCAAAGCTGGCGACTGAGGCCTTGAAAAGGCAAATAAGAAAATAATAAAAAAAGAAAATGAAAAAATAATTCGGGAGAAGTGGAGTTACCTCAGTGTACACCCGAAGCCCTGGGGTGTCTGTACACCAGGCGGCAGCGGCCGCCAGCCCGGCCGTCGCTGAAGCGCCGAATTAAATCAAAATAAATAAAATAATAAACAGAATAATAAATAAATAATAAATAAATAATAAATAAATAAAATTAAAACATTTTTGTTTTGTTTTATTCTCACTTGAGCTGGAAGACCCGCTGCTGCGCAGCCACTGCAGCAGCCGCGCCGTCTTCTCCCCAGAAGCTCCGCAGCTTCGTTTTGAATTAATTGGAATTATAAAATGGAATTAAAAATGGAATTAAAAATGGAATTAAAAATGGAATTATAAATGGAATTAAAAATGGAGTTCTAAATGGAATTATAATCTCAAGTTTGAGTTTCTTTTGGGTTGCGAACAAGTTCCGAGTCGAGCTCCACCACTTCGGAACAAAAAATGCGTCAATTAACATTTTATTTTATTTATTTAACTCAATTAACATTTTATTTTATTTATTTAACTCAATTAACATTTCATTTTATATTTTTAAATTCAAAATGCTTTTCTGCGGCGCCGGTGGGAAGCTCTAGCCCGCAGTTTCCATCGGAATCGAACTCAGTATACACCCGAGCAGCATTTGCAAAAAACTTGAATTGGCCACTCAAGAGGTTTCAAAAAAAGGGAAAGCGCCCCTTTTTGCGTTTGTGTTCACTTGAACTTCAAATTAAAAGAAGTAAAAGAGAATTTGCAGCAAAAAGAGCCGCGAAATACTCCAAAAATTCAACAATTGTGGAGTGGCTGCAGCAAAAAACGGGCCGCGAGGCTCGCTGGAGGCAATTTTGGCTTCAAGGAAATATTAAAAAGACAAAACTATTATTGTTTTTGTTTTTTTGATGCGGTTTTTTAGTTTTGTTTTGAAATTCGAAGAAAAGAACTCCGAACAGCTTTGCTGCTTGAGCTGTACGTACACCTGAGGAGGCGTTGCGGAAAGCGGCGGCGCGTTCGGAACACTTCGCCTCCAGAGTCCATTTTTTCGAATTTGTTGCAGTTTTTTGCAAAACTAAGTTTATAAAACATAAAAATTAAGTTTATTAGGCACTTTTGGCTCGAAGTTTCTCTGGGAAGCTGCCATGAAGCTGCTGCTTCCGTGCGCGGCGGTCTTCTGCCTGCAGTCCGCAGCAAACGCGACTCAGGAGAAGTTCCTGGGTGAGGCTTTTCTGCGCCTCAGCAGCAGCAGCAGCAGCAGCAGCAGCAAACCTCTTCAGGCCAGCTGGCTGGAGCTGTGATTGGGGGCGCAGCACAGTCGCTGCTGAGTGCACAGGGTGAGGGCAGCAGCACAGGACCAGCGCATGCAGCAGCCGTGACCAGTGGACCACTGCAGCAGCAGCGGCCGCGGCCCCCTCCGCCCCCTCCCCCGAGGAAGCTGCTGCAGAGAAGGTACAGCAGCAGCAGCAAACCAGCAGCTGCTGCCTGCTGCTTCCATTTTGCTGCTTCTCAGGCGCTGGCGCGCGCCCGCGAGGCCAGCGACGCAGCAGCAGGTGCGCTGCTGCTGCTGAGTTGCTGCTGAGAGTCCTTGGGCATTCGCTGTGTCTTCAGGAGCGAAGGACCTCGTCAAGACGCTGAAAGAGTACGCTGCTGCTGCTGCTGCTGCTGCTGCTGCTGCTGCCGCTGCTGCCGCTGCTGCCGCTGCTGCGGCTGCTGCCGCCGCTGCTGCTGCTGCAGTGCTGCTGCTGCCGCTGCTGCTGCTGCTGTCGCTGCTGCTGCTGCTGCGCTGATGCTGCCGCTGCTGCTGCTGCTGCCGCTGCTGCTGCTGCTGCTGCTGCTGCTGCAGTGACGCCGGCTTGCTGCAGCAACTACGGGGAAATGGAGGCCGCGCTGGCGCTGCCGCTGGCGCAAAGCACTGCAGCGCTGCAGACGGAGCGGCGGCGGCTGGCGCTGCAGTTGGCCGCGCTGGCTGCGCAGACGCGGCAGCTCTTCGACGGACTCCACCCCGGTGCGCTGCTGCTGCTGCTGCTGCTGCTGCTGCTGCTGCTGCTGCTGCTG